GGCGCCCGGGGGCGAGGTCGTGCGTGGCTGGAGGGGAGGTAGCCCCTCCATGCACAGGTGTGGCCCAGTGCTGTGTCGGGGGCTGATTCCGGTCTCGCGGATGGGTCGGTGGCCGGGTGGGGCCTTCGCGGCGTGCGGGAGGGGGCGTCCCCTCGATCTTTGTTTCGTTTTGTTTTCTTTGCTGTGAAACTGAATAAAAAAATTTAAAATCGTAATTACCAGCGAAACGTCGCACTGAAACTGTAAATGTTGTGGATTCACTCTTCAGCACACCGGTGGGCTAAAGTAGTGAACTATTTGTCTTTTGTCAACGTGACACTTTTTTGCTGATTGGCCGTGTCAGGTGGTGGAGGGTTACGGCATATTTATAAATAACGCGATCTAACCCAAACACCTTTATTATGAATAATATCGGTCGCGAAAGCCTACGTGGTAAACCAAATGTTGACGAATACCGACGTTACAGGCAATGGGGCTCTCTCGCTTCATGCTATTGGGGGGGGCAGGGGTGCAACTATGGTTGGGGCAGTGCCGGATGAAGCTCGTGCAGGGCCTGTCGCATGATGTTATTAAGGGGCCATAAATAAAATAAAAACACGTCAATATGAAAAAAACACTTACACCTTTTTACTTGCGTAGTAAAGTAATTGCACTTTTTTCATTTGCTATACAGCCGGATAATACGACAAATCGCTAACCTTAAACACCCAATCGTTCGTAAAAGATGAAGGTGGTATAGTACTATAGTAATAGAGCAAGTACAGAATCACTGAATCGGAATTGATAGTTTGAAAGCGTTTAGCGCGGGGTCTATGAAAGTGCGGGGCCCGTAGCTACAACTTATGTAGTAGCTACATATGTTGTAGCTACTACACGTGTAGCTACTACATGTGTAGCTACTACTTATGTAGCTACTACTTTTGTAGCTACTACATGTGTAGCTACTACTTGTGTAGCTACTACATGTGTAGCTACTACTACTTGTGTAGCTACTACTTGTGTAGCTACTACATGCGTAGTAGCCACTACTACATATACTACTAATTGTGTAGCAGCTGTTTGTGCTCCTGGGATCATCTGGCACTGGGTGGGGGGCTGTGTGGCAGCGATTGCGAACACATCGAGGTCTAGCCGGCCACAGCGCCCCCCCCCCCCCCCCCCCCCCCCCCCAGTATCAACAGACAAACAACAATATTGAGAACAATTGTTGCAAAAAAACACATGGCAACAATAATATGATAATATTTCATAAAAACGCACCCCGTAGCTATTTCAGTGAGTCGGGAGAAAGTAAAAGGTTGGGAGAGGGGGGGCACAGGAGTCTCTTGCACAGCCCCCCCCCTCCCCACTGTTGACATAGGTAGGTCTTCAGTTCGAAGCGCGATTATATAACACGTGACTCACAATAGCCACGAGGGGACAACAACAATGCGTGATTGCATCGGGACGATTCGCACGGCCGAGATTCCACCCGGCCCACGGCCCGTGGCCACGCGCCAGTGGCGTCGGGCAACGCGGCGCGAGAAACTTCCACATAACCGGGGCGACATTAAACCATTGACGCGCGATTACGTAAGAGCGTGCCCATTTGGGGGAGGTGGTGACTCGCGTGTCGGGATCCGAGCCGGGTGAGAACCCGAGTGTACCGGGTTGAGTCAAAACCCGTGGGGAGGCTCAGGGACGGGTTCACATGGACGCCGCTGGTGTTGGCCGTGAGCGAGAAGTGACCTCGGGTCGCCGGGTTCGCAGCAGCGCGGTGCGCGGACCACAACGTTGCACAGAGGCAACGGGTCCCCCGTGTAGCCTCGGCTACTATGAAGGCGGACACGGCGCACGAAGAGGGGGTGAGTGGCCAGCACCACGCCCGACCGCCTTTGTCTCCCTAGCGGCGATGTTTACACACCGCACCAGGTACTCATTTGAGGTTGAGTCGACCTAGGGGAGGCCCAGGAACGGTTCAGATAATCGTCACTGGTGTTGGCCGTGAGCGGGAATCGAACCCGGGTCGCCGGGTTCATAGCGCAGCGCGCTAACCGCTACACTACCGCTCCCCACACACACAAGAGACAAAGATCCCCCATATAGCCTTAACAGACTGTAGGGGCAAGTGCTGTTAGCAAGCACCTATGAAGGCCGGAACGGTACACGAGGGGGTGGGTGGCCAGCACCACGCCCGACCGCCTTTGTCTCCCTAGTGGCAATGTTTACACACTGCACCAGGTACTCATTTGAGGCTGAGTCGACCTAAAGCCATTCCACGGCATCCACGTGGTGGTCACTTTAGTGGAGTCCTCTCGTGCCACCGGACGACACGCGCTGTGTTGGGGCAGTCGTCAGTGAGATCCGCCTCATGGTCTGCACCGCTTGCACCTATAGAGGGAATATCCCACACACTTTCTCCCTCCACGTGGTATTTGTTGGCACGCGGCTGGGAGAGGACCCCACTGCCGTCAAGGCTGCCGAGAGAAGCCCCAGGAATCCATACTCGTTGGTTTTTTCGGTAAAGTCACGTAGGCAGAAAAATAAAAAAAATAAAAAAAAATATTACGACGTTTTATGTTTCTACCCACGTGACTTTACCGAAAGAACCAAAGAGTATGGATTCCTGCAATCACGAAAGCTTCGGATCAAGATTGGATACCCCCAGGGACGTTTCTTCGCTGGGTTTTCAGCGCCGTTCTCGTTTGTGACTCCCCCCGACCCCGGGTCTCACTCCGGTGGCTGGCACGGGGGCCCTCTTTGACCAACAGAAGAGTAGAGCCGCTGTGACCCCAGAGTGGGCGAACTCCATTTCGTACGGGGGCCTCGTGGGGATTTTACTTCGATATGCAGCAGAGGCGACATTTGGTTCGTCCAGGATCTTCTTGCGCTGCCCCAAGTGCTGTAAGGCTCCCGTCGGAAGTTCGACGCCGGATATGCAACGTGCACTAGAATCTGTGTTTACAGGAGCAGCTGCGGCAGCCAACACGGAGATTAACACGACTCTGAAACTTTGCCTCTATCCCACCAGTCAAGACTTCCCGAGCACCAATGGGAATCCCGAGATCCTCCGGAGCTGTCACGAATAAAGCCGTTCGTGCTTACAAAGAGTAGACAAGTTTGAGAGTAAAACTAACAGCGGCCATCGATGACAGCCGTCCGTTAACCCGCTGACAGATGGAGACTGTGCTCGCAGCCTCGTTAATTTGGTTGTTTGACCATACTTCACCGCGCTGGTAAGGGGCCGTCCATAAATGGGGGGGGCAGACATTTGTGACGATGTGTGACGAGGAGCGGTGGGGGGTTGAGAAATGTGACGTCACATCAAAATGCGCAACTTTAAATAAATATAGACAACACGTTCTACTTCATTAAATATACTTTTTAATAAATGTTTTCTCCTACAACATCAGAGTGCAGCGCCACATTAAATACGCACTACAATGACAATAGTTTAAAGCGATTTGAAGCATGTTTTATTTTGGGGGGGGGGGGGGGTGGGGGGCAGAGCTTTGTGACGTCATATTTGAGAGGGGGTCTGGCTTTTTGTGACGCCGTGTGACGAGGGGGGGGGGTCAAAATCGTCCAAAATCGCGTGACGTCACTTATGTACGGCCCCTAAATGCAGGTCAGTGAATGGGATAACCAGGCCCGGTTCAAATATCGCTGGCCACTGACAGTTGAGCGCTGGCAGAAATCGTAAGGCACTTATGTTGTATGTACGTACAACTTTCTTTCGCACCGTGCGTAGCCAACCGCGCTAATCGTAGGCGCGGGGGTAAAGACAACAAACTGAACACAAAAAGCAGTTCTAAAGAAATGAGTGTTCGATCGAGACTTCAAAGTGCATAGCTGCAGGAAGAGCGTTCCAGATGGCCGCAGAAGCGTGCCTGAAAGCGTGCCATGCGGTAACCGGAGTTCGCGAGATGATTTAAACTCCTTGAACTTCTTTCGCACCGTACGTAGCCAACCATGCTAAAAGCCAATACAGCAAAGATGTGGACTCCATCTATTCCGCCGGTGTGAGATAGCGTGTTTCTCCCTCGCACATGTGGGTTTTCTCCCAAACGTATAAACGCTCATTAGTTGCCTGGTGGCATCTTAATAACTAGAGGACCGAAGAACTTGGGCAATTCTTGGTGCGTGGCTGCTGCCTTCCTGCTCGTCGTGCCTCTGAGTCGATCTCTCTCGCTCTATGGGAGCGAGCAAACTCTGCGCAGTGAATGAGTCGTCATTATTATCATGCTAGCCTCCAGCATTTTCCTGGAGAGAAATCACTACAATCTTAGTGTTACGCTAAACCAATTTACACATCATACCCCAGTTTACACATCATACCCAAGTCTACACATCATACCCCAGTCAACACATCATACCCAAGTCTACACATCATATCCCAGTTCACACATCATATCCCAGTCTACACATCATCATATCCCAGTCTACACATCATATCACAGTCTACACATCATATCCCAGTCTACACATCATCATATCCCAGTCTACACATCATATCCCAGTCTACACATCATATCCCAGTCTACACGTCATATCACAGTCTACACATCATATCCCAGTCTACACATCATATCCCAGTCTACACATCATATCCCAGTCTACACATCATATCACAGTCTACACATCATATCCCAGTCTACACATCATCATATCCCAGTCTACACATCATATCCCAGTCTACACATCATCATATCCCAGTCTACACATCATATCCCAGTCTACACATCATCATATCCCAGTCTACACATCATATCCCAGTCTACACATCATATCCCAGTCTACACATCATTTTCCCCCGTTACGTAAAATAAAAAAAACAGAGAGAGGCGGGTGGATGCGAGGACAAAAACAAATTCCACCTTCACATTTAGGCAATTTTAAATGAATAAATAACACTAGCCCCGTGGCGACATCCCGCCTGGCCTCTGCCGCCACATCCCGGCACGCCCCGCGCCTCCCACACCGCCACCACCGCCACCACCGCCCCTTATCCACCCCGGGGCAATGATTCGCGCATAAATAAGCAGCTCAGACTCGCCTTGCTGCAGCTCAGTCCGCGCCCTGCCCACTCCTGTCAGCAAGCAGCAGCAGCAGCAGCCATGCAGTCTCTCCTCTTCCTTTGCCTCTGTCTGGCGGGGACCGCACTGGCTGCACATGGACACCGTACGTATTAAATTCATCATCACCACCACCTCCACCACCACCTCCACCACCACCTCCACCTCCACCACCACCTCCACCACCTCCACCACCACCACCACCTCCATCACCTCCACCTCCACCACCACCACCTCCACAACCACCACCTCCACCACCACCACCACCTCCACCACCACCATCACCACCACCTCCACCACCACCTCCACCACCTCCATCACCACCACCTCCATCACCTCCACCACCTCCACCACCACCTCCATCACCACCACCACCACCTCAATCACCACCACCACCTCCACCACCACCATCACCACCACCATCACCACCACCACCACCACCACCTCCACCACCACCTATGTTTGTTGAACTTCTTTCGTACCGCACGGAGCTAACCGTGCTAATCGGGGGTGCATCGTCATCATCGCCCTTCGCACGGAATTGTCATCGCTGTAGTAGGGTTAAGATTGATACGTTCATGCGATGTCGGGATTCTCTGAAGGTGCTTTGCTAGCTAATCTAAGCAGTCACGGCGTTTGGTTTATTCATTTTGTACATTTTGTATTCGTGGAAATACTCCACCCCCAATGATCCCTTGAGATGGGACATCTCATTCGCAAGTCTGTCCGGGCTGTCAAAGGATTTCCTCGTGAATGCTTTGAGGAGTTGTGGGAGCGAGGGATGCGGAGTCACGGGCAGCGTGGAACGTGAATGCATGGCAGTGTGTGTGCAGCAGTGGTCGTGCATGGCAGTGTGTGTGTGCAGTAGCGCTCATGCATAGCAGTGTGTGTGTGCAGTAGTGCTCATGCATGGCAGTGTGTGTGTGCAGTAGTGCTCGTGCATGGCAGTGTGTGTGTGCAGTAGCGCTCATGCATGGCAGTGTGTGTGTGTGCAGTAGTGCTCATGCATGGCAGTGTGTGTGTGTGCAGTAGTGCTCATGCATGGCAGTGTGTGTGTGCAGTAGCACTCGTGCATGGCAGTGTGTGTGTGCAGTAGCGCTCATGCATGGCAGTGTGTGTGCAGTAGTGCTCATGCATGGCAGTGTGTGTGTGCAGTAGTGCTCATGCATGGCAGTGTGTGTGTGCAGTAGTGCTCATGCATGGCAGTGTGTGTGTGCAGTAGCGCTCATGCATGGCAGTGTGTGTGTGCAGTAGTGCTCATGCATGGCAGTGTGTGTGTGCAGTATCGCTCATGCATGGCAGTGTGTGTGTGCAGTAGTGCTCGTGCATGGCAGTGTGTGCGTGCAGTAGTGCTCGTGCATGGCAGTGTGTGTGTGTGCAGTAGTGCTGATGCATGGCAGTGTGTGTGTGCAGTAGTGCTCATGCATGGCAGTGTGTGTGTGCAGTAGCGCTCATGCATGGCAGTGTGTGTGTGTGTGCAGTAGTGCTCATGCATGGCAGTGTGTGTGTGCAGTAGCGCTCATGCATGGCAGTGTGTGTGTGGTGCAGTAGCGCTCATGCATGACAGTGTGTGTGTACGGTATCGCTCATGCATGGCATTGTGTGTGTGTGCAGTAGTACTCATGCATGGCAGTGTGTGTGTGTGTGTGTGCAGTAGCGCTCATGCATGGCAGTGTGTGTGTACGGTATCGTTCATGCATGGCAGTGTGTGTGTGTGCAGTAGTGCACATGCATGGCAGTGTGTGTGTGTGCAGTAGTGCTCATGCATGGCATTGTGTGTGTGGGGGGTGGGGTGACTTGCCCCCCCCCCTCTCAGGGGCACAACTATGGGGGGTGGGGTGACTTGCCTCCCCCCTCAAGTCACCCCAACTATGGGGGGGGGGGGGTGACCCACATGACGTCATGTGGGTCACAGGGGCTCAGTCGGCCGCAAGGAGGGCCCCGAATTAACAGACAGGCAGAGTGCAAACATGTTAAGAAAAGTTATTTTTTAATGATTCCAACAATTGACCATGAATGCCAAAGCAAATATTGTTACAAATGAAAAGTAACATTTCCGAAAAATACACGCAGTGTAAAATATCGTAGCGCTACTGCTGGTGCTCATTACCGAACACCAGGACTTTTTGCTGACATATGCATGAAAGTAAGACGAATGATAACTTCATTGCGAGTATTGTAAACTTTTAATCGGTTAAATCGTTTGTATTAATACTGCAACTGTGAGACTGTCTTCCTCTAAACCCCAATACACGGTGCTACTAAAATAATATAAATACATGTTGTGTACGGGTTTATAAAACCCATCTCTGGCTATTTGAGTAACAGCGAGTCGTATCTTGCATCGCCTCTCACGCTGACATCAGCCTCTGGTGTGAGGGCACGGACAGAAGAACTCTCAGGCGAAATCTACCACGGGGCTGTGGGAGTAGGGGGGGGGGAACATGCTGACTCGCACCACCCACAGTTCTGTTAACAAAGGACTTACATCATGGTTTGTTCAGTCGGTGCTGTCTCCCCCGTGACCTCTCTTTGGGGGTGAGGCGGGGGAAGGGCTCGGTTCATTAAATTGGCGGGGTCACCGGCCACGACGATCCGGAGCTGCACAAAGCACACACTGGACATCCTGCTCCATCATAGACTGGGTGGTTTTCTTCATTTGGGGTTAGATGGCGCAAATATGAATGTGTTGTTTAACCCGCCACCACCCGCCACCACCCGCCACCACACGCCACTGCCATTTAGTAATGTTTGTCACTTAAACAAAACGTGCCAATTCGTTACTGGTACAGCAACACCCAGGTGCGTTGGAGAGCAAAGCCACTGGAACATTTACGATTCGAGTAGCGTGACGTTTCGCCGATAATGACAGCAACCAGCATCATCAGACGACAGACAGAGTTGTGGACAGACCCTCCTCCTCCTGTTTCGGTCTTCAACAGAGGGGGTAAATGTGATGTCGTCACTTGCGAGCCATTCGCGCGACCTAACCCACCAAAAAAAAGAAACCTGGGGTATCGATAATATTGGTCGCGAAAGCCCACGCGCTGAATCGTTCTCTCTCGTTTCCTCCTCTCCACTGATTGCAATGCGGTTGTTCGGTTGTGACCGCTGAACTAACTGGAGCGTAACTTACTTACAAGAGACGAACAATTCGGCCACTCTCTCGCAGTGCCGTGCTGCGAACGTGATCGGTGTCTCAATGGGCTCCCGCGTGATTTTGTTTACAGAGATTAACGAATGCCTCGGACACCGACGCAACGGCCTAAGCGTACGTTTCATGAACGGCCCTTTATGTCCATCCGCTGCAAGGTCAAACAGGCTGCTTTGTCTGCCCACCCAGTGAACGCGCCAACGTTGCATCAACGTTGGCGCGCGGTTGGAACCGTTGGCCCAACGTTGCATCAACGTTGGCGTGCGGTTGGAACCGTTGGCCCGACGTCGGTCCAACGTTGGCGAGATTGTTCCATGTGATGTATTTATAGCCTTGTTCATTTTAACAAATGTTTTACGGAGACGCGTGTATGACTCTGGAGTGGGGCGTACTGCTTGCTGTAGGCCACTTGGCGTTTTGGCCCTGTGCTCGGAAAACCCCGCAGAGGTCAAAGTGACTTCTTGCTGCCATGGCCACTGAGGGTGGTGCTCATCTTCTTTCGACAGCGAGCGATGGGGTGAAAAAAATCCACATTCCAATGGCGAGGGAAAGTCTATCCGCAAGGGGACAGCGACAGTTAACATCGTCACAAAGCGGTGCTCCTGTTTAACAGCCGTGGAGGGAGGATGGACTGGGTCCCCCCCCCCCCCCCCCACCATCATTCCCCCGCACCTCCGATTAGGGGCCATCCATTTAGTACGTACAGCATGGAGGGAGGAGGGGGGTGAACCCAAATGCGTATCCTTGCGTATGGGGGGGGGTCTACTGACAATGTACGCATAGGAAACGGGGGGGGGGGTGAAGCCTCCGTAAAAATTTGTCTACATTGGCCTTCAAATGAGTTAGATAGTCTGGCGGTGGACAATCTGTTTGCTTAAACACGTTAATATTATTCATCCTTGATCTTTTCTGCGTGGATTAAATATCGGCCGTTCTATAGGATTCGGGAGGGGGGGGGGGGGGCGGGTAAAAAGTCCGCGTGCTTACAGGGAGGGGGGGAGGGGTCAAACTTGACAGAGTTTTGGGTACCTATTCAATGGATGGCCCCTTAGCACGGTTGGCTACGTACGGCGTGAAAAGAGTTTAACATGCGAACGTACAGCCAGCATGTGAAGAACTCCTCACTACCGCTGAGCCAGCTGGCAGTTAGGCCTGGGCACGGTAAAAGGAGTCGTACACATTCATACCCAGTGGGAGGCTGTATGCAGACACTGCCTTGTGAACTACTGGACATCTATGAAGAAGAGCTTTAATGCTCTGGTTATTTCGGTAAAGTCACGTAGGTAGAAATAAAATTAAATAAATCACGACGTTTCGAACGCAACACAAGCAGCACGATGTATGGATTCCTGCAGTCACAAAAGCTTCAAATCAAGAGCTTTAATGCTCATCGGATTCCTCCAGTATCAATAAATGCAGACATTCCTCGACGTACGAACATTGACTTAATACGCGAACTGGCACTTGCGAATGGAACCATTTTGTTCAGCTAAGCTATCCTCCGCGAGATGTAATGAGTCAACCTCGTTCTGGGAGTGAATGTTTGTGTGTGTGTGGGCATTTACATACAGTAGATTAATGTGTTCCGACTTACGAACCGTTCGACTTACGGACTGGTCGCAGGAAAGGATTGTGTTCGTAAGTCGATGACTGCCCGCATGCTGATTCTGACTGTGAACCGTCTCGTGTTCCCCACCCCCTTGCGACCGTCGCTTACCCCCCCCCCCCCCCCCCCCCCCCCCCCCCCGGCACAGCGAAGGGCTGCAAACTCCCCCACGTCCCGCGCAACGGGGGCCTCACGTGCGTCACGGTGAACAACACCCGCTACTGCAAGCCAATGTGCAACAAGGTGAGCGAGGAGGAGGAGGAGAATCCACCACCACCACCACCCCCACCACCACCACCACCCCCACCACCACCACCACCACCACCACCACCACCACCAGCACCACCACCAGCACCACCCCCACCACCACCACCCCCACCACCACCACCAGCACCACCACCAGCACCACCACCAGCACCACCACCAGCACCACCACCCCCACCACCAGCACCACCACCACCAACACCACCAGCACCACACCCACCACCACCACCAGCACCACCAGCACCACCACCAGCACCACCACCACCTCCACCAGCACCACCACCACCACCAGCACCACCAGCACCACCACCAGCACCACCACCACCCCCACCAGCACCACCACCAGCAGCAGCACCACCAGCACCACCACCAGCAGCAGCACCACCACCCCCACCACCAGCATCACCACCACCACCACCACCCCCACCACACCCACCACCACCAGCACCATCACCCCCACCACACCCACCACCACCAGCACCATCACCCCCACCACACCCACCACCACCACCAGCAGCAGCAGCGACTTTGCGACGGTCACCTCCACATGGCACTCAGTGTTGGTGACGGAAAATGACCGGACGGTGTAGAAGTACGCTTCACCTCATCACGTGTTTGGTGTTTTGTAAGTACTGTACTGTAATGCGATACAGTCTAAACAACTATGTGAACTGTTTTCTACTTTACCAGGTGAGGCCCACTGAGCTGTACAGCTCTCTTTCAGAAGCGGCCTGGCCACAAATGATAGCTCAACGAAGTGGCTTATCGCGTGGAAATTTATAGCAGCCCAAATATTCTCAACGCATGTTTCTAAAAGGTAAGGGTGTAGGCCCAGAGGGATCTCTAGAGAGCCCCTCAATCTAGAGGCTGCTTGGACTTTTCTTCCATGCTGGCCAGACGTTCTGGAAGAGGTGGGATTACCCAAACTATACCCCACCACACACGACCTGTCGATTGGCTGTGGTGGGGGATTTAAGGAACTTTCCCCATTGTTTTAACTGCCGCAAAGGGCGCTACGGTGGCTAGGAGATGTTAACTACCTCACCTGGTATACAGGAGGTCGTGGGTTCAATCCCGACCATGACGCCTGCTGCTGTATATTTGGAGTTTGCGTGTTCTCACCGTGGTCGCGTGCTTTTTCCCTCCACATTTAGAATCAACACGCGTTTAGAGTCTGTGGCTGCTAGAAATGTCCACACCATAAACCATTTTCATTGAGCTGTCATTTGTGGCCAGGTCGCTTCTGATAAAGTGCTAGCTTAGTTGGCTATCCCTGGAAAAATAAAAAATAAATAGTTTAGTTTGAGGGCAGACAACGCGTTTTGTCATTGCCTCTCGGAAATCTCTCAGTGGCCACAGTAGGGACGGAGCTGGCCGCCTTCACTCGCAAGTTTCCTTCACAAAAAACCCAACACACTCGTCAATAATTCCGCAGCTCTAAATGTACTACAAGTTGAACTTCAGTGGAAGTCACTCAGGGTGGACGTCACTCAGGGTGGACGTCACTCGGGGGTTGACGTCACTCAGGGTGGACGTCACTCGGGGGTTGACGTCACTCAGGGTGGACGTCATTCAGGGTGGACGTCACTCGGGGGTTGACGTCACTCAGTGTGGACGTCACTCAGTGTGGACGTCACTCGGGGGTTGACGTCACTCAGTGTGGACGTCACTCAGTGTGGACGGGGGTTGACGTCACTCAGTGTGGACGTCACTCAGGGTGGACGTCACTCAGTGTGAAGCAAACAGATAGTCCACCGCCGGCTGCATTAAATAATTAAGTTGCGTACCTTCAAAAAAGTTTGTCTGGTGTCCGCTAGGTTTAAACGCCGACTGAACCCAGTCGAACAGGTGACGTGTTATAGGGATTTCGCCAACACGCGCAGTGTTAGGCTGAAGCACAGCAGCATTAGCTGTGGTCTGCTGGGCCGCCGTCTCAAGATCCACAGCGTCGCTGACGTGATCATCATCTAGCTTTTGATTGTTCTCACTGTCAGAAGACTCCGCAGTGGGAATGCGCTGGTGTCGTTTTACATCGTCTTGCGGCAGCTAAACCCTTGAGCAGTCTGCAGCGAGGCCACATTTCAGGATGTGTGATCCATGGGTCAGGCCGCCTGACCATGTCAGACTCACTGCTGAGCTGCGTGATAGCTGCAGTCAGGGGCACGGTGGCACAGAAGCGACACCTCTCCCACAGCCCCACTTCTCCCGCTAGTACTTGTTGTCTCACCGCTGGAGAAACTCAACTGTGGCTCATTTGAAGGCCAATGTACACAGATTAATTAGTATCGAGGCTTCACCCCCCCCCCCACCGTTTCCTATGCGTACGCACATTGTCAGTAGACCCCCCATACGCAAGCGTACGCATTTGGGTTAACCCCCCTCCCCACTCCATGCGTACGTACTAAATGGATGGCCTCTTAAGAGGGTGATATTTTTCGTAATGATCTTTGCTAGGTACATTGCCCAAAACGTCGTCCATGATAGATTTTTTTTCCTTTCGATGCCGCAGCGTTATTGACCAATGAACTTGAGATGTTTTTTTATCTCTTATATCCTTGCCTCACCACTGGCAGAATGACCAAAATGTTGTTTATTTATTTAAACTGGCAAAGTTGGCTAAATGTGATCGCACTGGCCACTGTCTAAGCGACTCGGCCACTCGTAAAAAAATATGTTTTTAAACTCTTCTTGGGAAAGCGGGATTTTCTGAGAACGTCTTTGAGTATGTGATTACAGTACGTGCATAATAGCTCGCTGTCTTCCGGCTCCCGGTTGTGATAAGGTTTATTTGAACAGCGGCTTTTCTTTCGGGCCAGAGTTGTTAGTTTTAAAGAAAAAAAATGCCAGAGGAAACACATTAAGAAAACACGTTAAGAAAACTCGGGTGCGGCCGGGCACTTAAACCATTTGCGAGTGGCTCAGTACCATGTACGCCCTGGTTTGTTCAAGTGTTGAAACGTGATTACGCTGTTGGACGATTGTAAGCAAGATAACCCCCCAGCTTCTGGTCAACCTGAAATCTGACTTGTGTTTAGTCTCGCAAAAAAAAACCAAGGGCGAAAAATATTTGGCTATTTTTTTTTACTGATATTGCTTCGTGATTGCAAAGTTAATTGAATGAGTAATGGATTAAATCAGGTCAGAGTGCATGCGTGCTCAAAGAAGCAAAGCAGAATGCGCATCTCAATTGGGAGCCTTGAGCAAGTGGTAAACATTCCACATTGTTATGAAACTCAACTATAAACTATTTTTTTTATTTCACGAGGTAATGCCCTAATAAGCTACACAGCTCTTTTTCAAAAGCGTCCTGCCCACATGATAGATCGACGAAGTTGCTTGTCATGTGGACATTTATAGCAGGCAAATGCTCTAAACGCGCGGGAAACCGGAGGACACTCAGAAAAATCCATGCGACCACGGGGAGAGAGAGATACACAAACTCCAAATATACAGCAAATACGTCGGGATCGAACCCACCACCTGCTGTATACCAGGCGAGGTAGTCAACAATCTCGCCACCGTGGCGAGATGTTAGCAGAGCGTGACAATGCCGTTTGTGTTCGTGTAGCTTCTACAATGCAAGTGCATCCCAAGGCACTGCACAATGGCACGCATGTGTAACATAGAGTGCTGTTGAATAATTCATCGAGAAAAGACGGCCAACGAGAGTGTGGGTGGAGAGGGAGACCTTGGGCTTGGGTTTCAATGGGGGCAGGGAGGCAGCAAAATGGATGACCAGGGAATAACATTTGGATAGCAACAGGAGCAGAGGAGGAGTGAGGCTGACGAGTGGTTTTGACAGCAGTAGGCCACTCCCGCTGGAGGGGAGGGCATATTGAGGGGAGTACGAGAGAGAAGAAAGGGGAGAGGCAGGGAACGGACAGTCCGTGGGGTGTGTTGCAGACGGTGAGTGTCATCTCGCAATCTGTCCCCGGATTTAGGTGGAAGCAAGCGGAGGGATCGGAAGATTGGTGGAATTGTCTCCCTTTATGGGGTGAGATTGAGAAGTCTTCCGAAGCAAACCCTGCATGGGGGATTGATTCTAGGAGAGGCCACGATCTGTCAGGGAAGAGAGGGGGGAAATCCCGCAAGCAACTCACAAAGATCCCACCGTGTGTGTTGTGTCGGGGGTCCCTGCACTGACTCGGCACAGTTCTTGTCTAGCGGGTGGGTGGGGGGTGGAGCTGCGCGTACATGCTGGGGGTGACGCGTGCAAACATATGCGACTTGTATTTAAATGGGGGGGCGGCTGCAATGATTCACGAGCAGTCGGATCAATCGGCCAGAAGCACTGATTTCCTAGAATCAGCTCCCAGCGGGCCATGCGTTATTTAAAAACACTATTTAAACTAGTTTTTACCAGTTAAAGCCCACTGGGTTATATATTGCTATTTTTCAGAATCGACCTGGCCACAAATGATTGTTCAACGAAGTGGCTTATCGTGTGGAAATTTAAAGCGGCCAAATACTCTAAACGCGTGATGTTGATTCTAAATATGGATAGGAAAACCGGAGGACCTGAAGAAAAATCCACGCGGCCATGGAGAGAACATGCAAACTCCAAATATACACGTGTCATGGTCGGGATTGAACCCACGACCTCCTGTATACCAGGCGAGGTAGTTAACATCTCCTAGCCACCGTGGCGCCCCTATGAATGCTGGTTATCAGGTGCCAAGGCGGCCTCAGCGCAGTCAACGATGACGGCACAAATCACGCCTCCGATGAGCATGATTGGCTATGTACGGTGCGAAAGAAGTTATATATATACTTACATAGTTTAGGTTTTCACTTAGTTCGGTGTCCTGCGGGGATTGGCAAAATCGGTTTTATTGCACAACAAACACTCCTTACGAGGCATAGGCGTGTGGTGGCGCTTGCCTTTATAGGTTACAACAAGGGTTTTATTCATCACAAGACATCAGAGACAGCAGCACAGATGCATTTCACTATAATCTGGGGAAGAGCAAAATAATAAT